GCTCCACATCGTACTTTAACATTGGCACGACTTCGTCAACAGCGCACCGCAACTCTTCGTCCACTACCGTCATCGCGGGCCATAGCAACTACAACGACAGCAACAACCACGATCACAATGGCAACTCTGCTGCTGCAAGCGACCGAAATGAGATGTCTGCAGCCATGGCAGACGCCTCCCGGGGGCAACAAGAAGTTGACAAATCGGGCGCTTCTTCCAATTACTCAAACGAACTCGAGGTCGAAAGCACCCAATTTGCGCCTCTTAAGACCAACACGAGCACCACCGAGAGGCAGAGGCCCCAGGCAAAACGACAAGGTACGACGATGACAGAAGAAGACCTCTTCCGAGCCCTCTCTCGACGTCGTACAAATGCGACCAACCAGTCCGAAGCAGGTCAAGAGGAGGAGCAACAAGAGGTCGAACGTCTCATGTCTAGAATCTTTGGTCGTGCACGTCAAGAGCAGAGTGAGGAGGAGAAGACGAGGCATAGTGGCGTCGTGTTTCGAAACCTCACTGTGAAGGGTGTCGGGCTGGGCGCAAGCCTCCAACCGACTGTTGGAGACATCTTCCTTGGCCTTCCCAGAAAGTTCAAGTTGCTCCTCACTCGTGGCCCCAAGGCTGCATTTGCTAAGCCTCCTGTCCGCGAGCTCATTAGCCGCTTCGATGGCTGCGTCCGGCCTGGCGAACTCTTGCTTGTTCTTGGGCGGCCGGGGTCAGGATGCAGCACTTTTCTGAAGGCTTTCTGCAATCAACGAGCTGGGTTTGAATCTGTCGAGGGCCACGTTACGTACGGCGGGACCGATGCTAGTGAGATGGCGAAGAGATTCAGGGGAGAAGTCATTTACAACCCGGAGGACGACCTGCATTACCCAACTCTGACCGTCAAGAGGACTTTGAAGTTTGCCCTTCAGACACGCACTCCGGGCAAGGAATCGAGGCTTGAAGGCGAAACTCGTCAAGACTACATTCGCGAGTTTATGCGAGTTGCCACGAAGCTTTTCTGGATAGAACACACTCTCGGCACCAAAGTTGGCAATGAGTTTGTTCGCGGCGTCTCGGGTGGCGAAAGAAAGCGCGTGAGCATCGCAGAGGCTATGGTTACAAGAGCTTCCGTTCAGGGATGGGACAATTCGAGCAAGGGCCTTGATGCCAGCACCGCGGTCGAATATGTTCGCTCCATACGAGCCATGACCAATATGGCCGAGACATCGACTGCTGTTTCGCTTTACCAGGCTGGCGAGTCTCTCTACGACCTCGTTGACAAGGTTTTACTTATCGACTCTGGCAAATGCCTATACTATGGACCAGCTGAGGCTGCGAAGAAATACTTCATCGATCTTGGCTTTGAATGTCCTGACCGCTGGACCACCGCAGATTTCCTTACATCTGTCACCGATGAACATGAGCGTCATATTCGCGAGGGTTGGGAAAACCGCATTCCTCGGACCCCTGAGGCATTCGACTCTGCGTACAGAAATAGCGAGGCTTACCGCAGGAACGTCCAAGACGTTGAGGATTTTGAGGGTCAACTTGAACAACAAATCGAGCAGCGCCGTCGGTATGAGTCCGAGAAGACAAAGACCAAAAACTACGAAATCCCATTTCATAAGCAGGTCGTCGCCTGCACAAAACGCCAATTCATGGTTATGGCCGGCGATCGAGCATCACTTTTCGGCAAATGGGGCGGTCTGGTGTTCCAGGGCCTCATCGTTGGCAGCCTGTTTTACAACCTCCCAAACACAGCCGCCGGAGCTTTTCCTCGTGGAGGCACCCTGTTCTTTCTCTTGCTCTTCAATGCTTTGCTTGCGCTCGCCGAGCAAACAGCCGCGTTTGAGTCGAAACCCATTCTTCTCAAGCATAAGTCATTTTCATTCTACCGCCCTGGAGCCTTCGCCATCGCTCAGACCGTCGTCGATATTCCTCTGGTCTTTATCCAAGTTGTCCTGTTTAATGTCATTATCTACTGGATGGCAAACCTGGCGAGAACAGCCTCTCAGTTCTTCATCGCCACACTCATTCTCTGGCTGGTCACCATGGTGACGTACGCCTTCTTCCGGGCTATCTCAGCTTGGTGCAAGACCCTGGATGATGCCACCCGGTTTACAGGTGTGGCTGTTCAGATCCTCGTGGTTTACACGGGGTATTTGATCCCTCCTGACTCCATGCGTCCCTGGTTCGGATGGCTGCGATGGATTAACTGGATTCAATACGGCTTCGAGTGTCTGATGTCAAATGAATTCTACAATCTCGAGCTTGAGTGCAGTCCACCTTACTTGGTTCCCCAGGGTCCCAATGCAACGCCTCAGTATCAAGGATGTGCGCTCGCTGGAAGCCCTCCCGGTCAGACAATTGTTCCGGGGTCCAGCTACATCGAAGCCTCCTTCACGTATACTCGCGCCCATCTTTGGCGTAATTTCGGCTTTCTCTGGGCTTTCTTCTTCACTTTTGTCGTTCTTACCGCCCTGGGCATGGAACATATGAAGCCAAACACTGGTGGAGGCGCCATCACCGTTTTCAAAAGAGGGCAGGTCCCTAAGAAGATCGAAAACAGCATTGCCACAGGGGGTCGGGACAAAAAGAGAGACGTAGAATCTGGGCCGACAAGCAACTCGGAAATTATCGCGGACAACACCGTCACCAAGGAGAAGACTGAGGAAGACACTTTGGACCAGGTCGCAAGAAACGAGACAGTCTTCACTTTCCGCGATGTCAACTACACGATTCCGTGGGAGAAGGGTAGTCGCAACTTGCTTTCCGATGTCCAGGGTTATGTCCGTCCTGGAAAATTAACCGCCCTCATGGGCGCGTCAGGTTAGTGGGTCTCGGGTGCTCTAGATAGCTCAACTGACAACGTCTAGGTGCTGGCAAGACAACATTGTTGAATGCACTAGCTCAACGCCTCAAATTTGGCACCGTGACTGGCGAGTTTCTCGTTGATGGCCGTCCTCTACCCAAGTCGTTCCAGAGGGCCACTGGTTTCGCGGAGCAGATGGACATCCATGAGCCAACCGCGACCGTCAGAGAAGCTCTTCAGTTTTCAGCCCTTCTTCGCCAGCCGCGAGAAATCTCCAAGAAAGAGAAGTACGACTATTGCGAGACTATCATTGACCTTCTTGAGATGCGTGATATTGCTGGCGCAACTATCGGGAAAGTGGGAGAGGGTCTCAACGCCGAACAGCGAAAGAGACTTACGATCGGAGTTGAGCTGGCATCCAAACCCGAGCTGCTCATGTTTTTGGACGAGCCTACTTCCGGTCTCGATTCAGGCGCCGCTTTCAACATCGTCCGGTTTTTACGCAAATTAGCTGATGCTGGGCAGGCCGTCCTTTGTACTATCCATCAACCGTCTGCTGTTTTATTTGAACACTTCGATGAGCTTCTCTTGCTTAAAGCCGGCGGTCGAGTTGCCTACCATGGCCCACTTGGTAACGACAGTCAGGAGCTCATCAATTATTTTGTGTCCAATGGTGCTCACGAGTGTCCCCCCAAAAGCAACCCTGCGGAGTACATGCTCGAGGCTATTGGTGCTGGAGATCCCAACTATCAAGGCAAGGATTGGGGCGATGTCTGGGCTCAATCAAAGAACAGAGAGGCGCGGTCTCGGGAGATTGATGAGATACTAGCCAAAAGAAGAGACGTTGAGCCTTCCAAGAATCTCAAGGACGACCGCGAGTATGCCATGCCGTTATCGACACAGACCATGGCGGTGGTGAAGCGGTCGTTTGTTGCGTACTGGCGCACCCCCAACTACATCGTCGGCAAGTTCATGCTACACATTCTCACCGGTCTGTTCAACTGCTTCACATTCTACAAGATCGGCTACGCATCTATCGACTACCAGAATCGACTGTTTTCAATCTTCATGACGCTCACCATCAGTCCTCCCCTCATTCAGCAACTTCAGCCAGTCTTCTTACATTCCCGTCAAATCTTTCAGTGGCGCGAGAACAACGCCAAGATATACAGCTGGTTTGCCTGGACAACTGCTGCCGTCCTCGCCGAAATTCCTTACGCCATCGTTGCCGGAGGCGTCTACTTCAATTGCTGGTGGTGGGGGGTGTTCGGCTGGCGCACTTCCGGCTTCACTTCCGGCTTTGCCTTCCTCCTTGTCATTTTATTTGAACTTTACTATGTCAGCTTCGGTCAGGGAATCGCCGCATTCGCACCCAATGAGCTGCTCGCATCTCTCCTGGTGCCCATCTTCTTCCTGTTCGTCGTCAGCTTCTGCGGTGTCGTTGTGCCACCGATGCAGCTCCCTACCTTTTGGCGCAGTTGGATGTGAGTTATACCGCCGGTGCAAAGGTCGCTAGAATCATGCTCACTATTCTCTAGGTACTGGCTTTCTCCATTCCATTACCTCCTCGAAGCGTTCCTTGGCGCCGCCATTCATGACCAACCCGTTCAGTGCCAGCCTGGCGAATTTGCAAGATTCCAGCCACCTCCAAATCAGTCCTGCCAAGATTACGCGCAATCCTACATTGCGCAAGCTGGTGGATATGTTCAGACTGGAGAAGGGGGCATCTGCGAGTTTTGTCAGTATGCTACTGGAGACGAGTTTGGCGCAGGCTTTAGCGTCTACTACAGCAACATTTGGCGAGACTTTGGTATCTTCTGCGGATTCATTGCATTTAACTATTTCATCGTCTTTGTTGGGACTTGGCTCAAGTTCAAAGGAAAGAACCCGCTCAAGTCGGTAATGGCGAAGAGAAAAGTTGGGAAATAATTACGCAACGTACGTTCGTCAAGTCAGCTTAAGTTCTAAAAACACCAATCGTAATAATATCTTGTATACTGTGCGCTTGGCTCTGCTCATGTCTTCGTGCCATTAATCTCGTGCTCTCGATGAGAAAGTTCCGGCACCGCCACTCATCACCCCAACTTTTGTGCGAACAAGCGCCGTGCTAAACGAGAATCGTGAAGGTCATAACGCTGTATCAATTGAATGGGAATCTATGAATGCCAAGATGGATTGACTAAGTGAAGCTGTTGAAGGCGGTCTAATTCTTGAAAGCGCCGCCGGAAAGCTCATCTTCCAGGTCGTAATAAACTTGGAATTCGCAATAGCAGATCTCAGGATCGCTCTCGACGTCGAAATTGAACTGCGCCTCCTCGTCGGTCACAAGGACCTTAGGCAGTCCATTGGCCGCAGCCGCCTCGGCGAGCAGCTGCACCCGACATTGGCGTTCCATGGAAGTGTAGAGGAACGCCGCCTCATCAACAGTTTGACCAACAGTCAACAGTCCATGGTTACGCAGGATGCATGCCTTGCCCTTGGGGCCAAGGGCCTCCGCAATCATCTCTCCCTCCTCTGGGCCGAGAACGACGCCGCCATAGCTGTTATAGACAGAGTGGGCATCACCACGGAACTTGCAGGCATCCTGGGTGAGCATCTCTAGACGGCGTCCGAAGACGGACCAAGCCTTGCCATACATGCTGTGGCAGTGACACACGGCGTGAACGTCAGGACGGGCCTTGTGGACAGCAGCATGGATCAGGAATCCGGCCGTGTTAGGGGGCTTCGTGCGGTTGCCGCCGATGACGGCGCCGTCGAGGTTGACAAGGATCATATCGCTCGCCTTGAGCAGACCGAAGTGCTTGCCGAGGGGGTTGGTCCAGAAGGCGTCGTGGATCTCGGGGTCTCGCACGGAGATGTGACCGCTCATACCCTCAACATAGCCCTCGCGGGACCAGTGGCGAAACGCGGCAGCCATGTGTTCAAGCTGCCATTGTCGTTGGGAGGCGAAGTCAGGGAACTTGGGGATCCCGGCCAGGACAACATCGCCATGGGACATGGCCTGCAAAGGCGTCTTGTTCTGAAGCTCGTGGCCATGCTTGGAGTGCGACGCCTCCTTCGGTACGACGGCTGTACCGCCGACAGCGGGAGCGGTATCGATAGTGGCGGACGGAGCCATGTTGAAAGTTTTCCAAAGAGACGCCGATATCCGGACTAGATGTCGTGCGTGGGTCAGAAGCGGCCTTCCAAGTGTGTTTCTGTCGTGAAGATTTTGATCTCTGGTTGACGATGCTAGACGCCTGGCTTGTAAAGGCTCGTCGGGACTGGAAGAAGGTGTCGAGACAAAATGTCGGTTTACACACCGGAATGCAGGCAAGGTTATGATCGGAGAAGGAGCGGGAACAGGCCGATTGATAACGCGCGACTTGCGATAGGCGTAAATGTCAGACAGCCACTCTGTACGGGGAAGTCTGGTCGGAGCGGGGTTGCGGGGGGCGAGATAAGGTACGACCGGGATCTCTTCTCCAGAGAGGACCGGATACCGGATACCGGCCCGGTCCAATGTTCGGACGGCCGGCTAAGGGCCAGCTTGCGGCACCAGCGGCCTCGGAGACCAGACTTCAAACCCGGGCACCCGCAAGCATTCATTCTTTGCGTGAACATCAAGACTATCACCCAACAAACTCTCCGCATCATGACAGACGGCACTGTAGTGGACGAAATAGAGCCGTGGTATGATGAAAAAAAAAATGTCGCGAGAGGGTATGTTACAATAGCGAGCCCATGCAAATTCCACCACCCGTCATTAAACCAAGGAATTCTCTTTTACAGTGACCGTCCTCGTCGTTATACGAATACTTTTGTTTACCCTTGCTGCGCAGCACACGATTCCCCAACAACACGCCGCTCGCCGTCACTTTCCTGAAGAATCGAGATCGCCGCTGCGTTCGTGACTCGGGCAGAACATGTACCAAAAATCCCATTAGTTCGTCATTAAATAGCAGTCAACCCGCCGGCGTTACTAGCAGTGCGAAACCCCCAGGTTGGGCCTTTCACCGCTTGGCCTGCAGAGCTTTGTCCAGGCATTGAATAATCTGTTCAAAGGTTAGTGAAAGGGCGCGATATCAAGAAACGATTGCTCAAGACATACCTCATCTCCCCAAACACCCTGGTTGCTGAGATAGCGGCCCATCCCCCTTACCAGCTCCAGCTGCTCGTCGACGGTCAAGCCGGTGACGGCCATTTCCATGACGCTGCCAAGACTGGCTTTATTGATGGCGATGAAAGAGTGGTAGTACATGTAAGTGAAGAACCCCATGATGAACTGGCAATCCATGCGATCAGTCATGCCGCCGTGGCCCGGGATAGAGTCGCCAAAGTCCTTGATCTTGAAGGTGCGCTTCAAGCCGGACGCGAAGAAGCCGCCGAAAGGAGCGATGAGCGAGGCGAAGGTTGCTAGGACCAGGGTGTGGAACTGAACAGGGGCCATGGTCAAGGAGAGGCTCTCATTCATGTTGGGCGGGAGGAAGAAGAGCGGAGGCAGGCGGTAGGTCTTGAGGTTGAAAACAGGGTTACGGGTGCACTCGAGGCCAGTGAAGATGTTTGCGGCGAGATCCTAAATGGGTCAGTGGCAGATCCTTCCGGAGACGCAGCGATAGTATACTCACAGTAACCGGGCAGATGAAGAACGAGGAGCGCATCAGGAGGTTCGTCAGTAGCATGCCAAAGACGATAGTCATGATCCAGGCGCCAACGAAGCCCTCCACGGTCTTCTTGGGCGACAGCTTGATCAGCTGGGTCCGGCCGAAGGTGATTCCCACCAGGTACGCCCAAATGTCATTGGTAATAACCATGGCGGCTGGGAGGAAGAACCAGATCATGCCCTCGAAGACGTTGTTCATGATGAAGTGAGCCTGGACGACGATGAGGTACAGCGCCATGTGCGTCCATGCAAACTGGGTGAACTGGAATTTGTAGTGACCGGCCTGAAGAGAGGTGACGAAGAAGACGAAACCTGAAGGAGTTAGGATCTAGGAGACGTCGAAGAAGTAGGGCGCGGGGCTAGTAGAGCTTACCGAAGATGTAGAGGATGAAGCTGATGAAGCGGTGGTGGGTGGCCAGGGGAAGCAGGACCTTGTCGACCAGGACGATGTGCTTGAAGTAGTAGATGACGGTTTCGCCATATAGGAAGTACATGGTGGTGGCCAGCCAGTACCAGTTGAGGCTCTTTGAGGATCGCAGCTGGCGGGCGCGGCTGGGAACGCTGGCAATGGCGATGACCTCCTTGAAAGAGATGATCTGGATGGCCGTGATGATGCAGATGATGTAGAGGTGGCCCATGACGAGGGCAGCAAAGAAGCCGACGAACATGACAAGGGTCCAGAAGGTGCGGGTCAAGAAGTTTGCCTTCTTCTTTTCGTACTCGGCGCGCTTCTCGTCCTCGGGAGACTGGGGCTGCTGCGATGCGGACATTTTGTTAGCAGTGAGATGGCTACGATGGAAGACTTGATCTGGATTGCGCCGCTTGAGGAGGACGAGACAGAGGCGGAGGAGAGGATCGGAGAGGGGAGGGAGGTACCTCGGAGATGTTTTGCAAAGCAGCGCCGGTCTTGATCTTGGAGGGGGAGCCATCTTCGCTGACGTCGCTGAAGCTGGAGCGGCGGCCGTCCGCGTGGCCGTTGGTCTTGTGGGGGAACTTGACCCCCCTCCTTGTACGAGCCATCATGTCTTTGTGTGTCTGGTGTCGACTAAAAGTGTCAAGTCGGCAACGAAGGTCTCGGGTCGTGTGGTGGGAAGCGTCGAGGGAGGTTTTGGGTCGCTTTTGCTTTTGGACGAGGGGTGTTCACGGGCAACGTCGGTTTTCGTCGCAGGAAGCAGGCGGGTGGTTCGGATGCGGGAAGGGTCAGCAGCGGAGAGTCGGCGCAAATTGGGCCGCTGGGGTTACTGGGGAGGGGCGGACGCGGTGATGGTCGCGGTCGTGGTAGGCGATAGGTATGTATCGTGGAGAAAAAGTCGACAAGCGAATGTGGCCAGTTCAAAAGTGACGAGGGACTGGACCTGACGGGGTGCGGGTTCTGCGTCACGGGCCGAGAAAGCGAAGGAGTCGGGGGGGATTAATGAGGTAAGGCAGGAGTAGGAGTGGCTTTGACGACGTGGATGTTTTGTTGAAGGGGTATTAGGTAGGTAGGTATCCGTAGCTCAGTGTGGTGGTGCAGGGGAGCTGGGACCATGGAGATGGAGATGGGATGGAGAAATAAGGTGGGTAATTTTGGTGGTGCCAGGCTCAGCGGGTGCAGTCAGTGAGTGCCAACACCCAGGTTCTCACTCTTTTTTTTTTTTTTTTCCCCCTGTTTTTTTTTTTTTCCCTTCCCTTTTCTCAATTTGTTCTTTCGGTGGATTTTTCTCTACGTAACGCCGAGCGGGCGGACTGACAGCGGGTCGACGGAAGGATTACAAGTGCGCTTTCCTCGCTTGGGATGCCGCTGTGAGTTGGCAATTAGCTTCAAGATATCGTACATAGGTCAAGATAAGGTAAGGTTGGTAGGTATCGCATGATGGATGGCAGCACCGCAAGCCTGCAGCAATTATGATGACGCTGCAAGTCAGATAGCGCAGAAAACCTAGCTACTGCGTACGTCAGGTCTGTGGCTTGGCGACTGACGCCCTCAAGCGTGGGAGAGGCGAGCCACCCGCCTCCTGCCTCCCTCACACTGGACACCACGAGGGACTGGGCTCCGTAGTGTTCACTAAGGCACACCACAGATACCGAGCGGAGATTATGTAACCCGCCGCAGGTCGAGATGAGAAAGTCCTCCATCTCAGCGGAATGATGGTGGAGTCCGCTCCGATGCGTGGCTGTCCCGTCATGGACGCTCCTTCCATCCCCCTCGTCCACAGGCAATTGCTTCCAAACCTGTCCGTCAGTACCGAAGGTAGGACGGGATTCTTCAAGGCTCGGTACTTCGTAGTCGACCGGAGATTCTACTATTCTACCTTAGCCCCCCGACTCCGACTCCCCGTGAGCGTGCTGGAATCAAAATACGCTTGCTGCATGTCCGGGAGCGAGCGCATGGGATGCCCTGTGGCCCCAAGTACGCGTATCGTTGCAGGGCCCAACCCCTCCACCCGGCTCCCATCCCTCCACTGTGGGAGAGCATCCATCCCTTGCCTACCGAAACTGTTGAGTTGGTCAGCTCTCTCAATTTCGGGGATTGATAGGCTGCAGCGCGCCCCATCGTCTGTCAATGCCAGAAATAACCTGCAAAGGAGAGAAAAACCACGTCCAGCGATTCAGATTGTCCCGAGCTGGGTACCTTCGGACATTGGATATTGGCGAAACTCGTGCCCAGCTGGCCCTCAAAGATTGGACATCAGGAATCGCCGGGCAATCCGAGACAATGCGTCCTGACGCAAGTTGCGCCGGTTGACATCATCACATGCCGCCCGTAGCTTCATCAACCAACTGCAACTGGCCTGACCAGCTTTTTATCAGATGAGGCGCGAGCTCCCATTCGTCTGTTTTCATGCAGCTAAAGTCGGCCACACACACCGCACGTGTGGCTAGTCAAGTGTGGCTGTGTAGCTCAGGCCACAGTGCCTGTGGCTGATGGCCTCACGGGAAGTCGCGTCGTCCACGTTCTGAGGTGTTTCGCGTCGCGGCACAGCTGCTGCCCGCCGCAACATGGACCTGCGGCAGCTCCCGATAAGACATCCACGATAAGAAAACACAAGCCACTATTCAGACCGACCCCAACAGCCAAAGTCAAACCAACTCTTGGAGTCTCTCCCTTCCTCACCATCGACAATGCGTTTTCGAACGCTCCTTCAACGCCATGGACGACTTCTCGGACGAGGAATTTGATGGACTGAACGACATCGCCCTCCAAGAGCTTGAAAACAATGCCATCCAACTCACACAGGCCCAGCGCAAGTTCGACGACTCCCAGCCTGCCCAAGGCACCCAGGTCGAAACTTACGATGATCTCGAGTTCGAGGATGACGACCTCGACGATACCGAGGTGACAAACCAGCTGCTGCCTCCGGTCGCTCGCCCCCTGCCCGACAAGACGATACCCCAGCACCAAACCCATCTCGCGAGAAGACCTTCGCTCCAGACCCCGCAGAGATGGAATCCTCCTCCTGCTCCCGTCAACCAGCCCGCCATCTCTGCCCGACCAAGATATCCTGCACCTGTCCCGTCCTTTGCTCCTCCAGTCGCCTCGCAACGATTCAAGACTCCCGTCGGCGCACCTCATCGCCCTCAGCCATCCCAATATGCCCGACCTCCCCCTCCTTCGACCCGCTACAACCCCCCGCAATCACAGGCTACTGCCCCGGCAGGGCCGGCGGGCAGCGTCGTTGCCGCTTTGCAGCAACAGCTGAAAGCCCTCCAGGCTGATCTAAATGCTGCGCGCGGCGAAGTGACAATCATCCGATCAAACTCCGCCAAAGCCCAACAAGATCACGCTGCCGAGATTGCGCGACTCAAGAAACAAAACGCCGAGCAGGCCGCAAAGCAAGAAAGCGCTGTTGAGGCTGCCATCACGAAAGAAAGACAGGCCACGACCGAGCTGCAGTTTTTGCAGCGCGACTTGAAGGATGCCGCCAGCAGACCACGCCGAAAGGACGCCGCACCACAGGCTCCTGCACCCGGAACTACAACCCCGAGGAAGACGACCAAGACGTGGGGTATGGCCGATGGTTTCGACGACATGGATATTGCTCCGAGCCCTACCAAAACAAGAGGCAAGACTAGGGATTCTGGCCCAGTGGCTGTTCCGTTGTCAGAACGGACGCCTACTAAAGGCAAACGCAAACGTCCAACCGTTGACAGCCCTGTGATGGCCCTAGAGGTCCACGCGGGCAATGTGCCCATGGCTGACGATGCCACCGTTACGGCACTGCCTGTTCAGCATCCGGCTCCAGGAACAAGCGTGCTTCCGTTCGAGGTAAGTCCAATCATGCCGCCCGTTGGCACAGCACGCTCACTAACGCCGTTGCAGTTTCTCCAGGTCATTCTGGATCATGGTTCGCTGCACGGAGAGCCGCCAACTTTTGACATCCTGTCTCGCTATGCGTTTCCGTCCGATCCGGCGACTTCGTTCTCCGCCTTCATCTTCCGCGAGCTGCCTCTGATGGGCAATCCCTCAAACCCTGTACAGCTCCTGGTGGACTTTGCACGCCTCCTCATTCGCATGTGGGCACAGTGTCTTGATGAGACCTACTTGCGTCCCGTTTGGGATCTCACTTCGTTGCTCTCCTTCACCCTGCAGCTTCAGACCATGTCTGTGGCTCCCCTAGTGATCAACGACCTGGTTCCTGTCGCTGTGAACTCCATATATATGGTTGCCGAAGCACGGTTCAAGAGAATTGAGACGGATGGCTCAACTGAGTCCGCCGCAGAAGCCTTGGAGCAAGATGTTGACTCCACCTACATCTTGTCACTGCTTTACGCCTCTGCCGCCGCCTGCGCCACCGTTGTGCAAGAAACCGAAAACGGTGCACAAACTCGGCAAGCTGAATTTTGGCAGCTAATCACTGTCGACATGGTGTTAGCATTGCTGACATCCAAGCAGCGGCTGGAGGATGTTGTGGGAATGCTCGACATGCTATGCACCTCAGTCCTGCCCAACTCCATTGGCCCCATCGTTCCTGGAAAACCGCCCGAGTTCATAGCTCGGATCCTCATCGATAGGGTTTCTATGAACCTTGTCGAACTCCCGCGAGCAGCCGTCACCGGCAGCGATAAACACGCCGTTCGATTCGCTGTTCTGCGAACGCTCATGAATTTTGCGCGTTCACCGTTTGGAGCACGACAGATCGCGAGCCACGTCAGTGTTATACCGCGACTGGTCACAACGTTGGGCGAGCTTGTCGACGGCTTGTATGACCTCTCTGATCCTGTTATAGACGGCAAAGGCGGTGGCTCTTGCTCCTGGCGCAAGGACGGGGCCGTGGACGCTACCCCAGATGATCCCCGCGATAAAGCCGACGACTGGGAAGATGGCCGCAGCGGTTCTTCCTCGCTGATATCCCAGATCGTATTGTTGCTGCACACCCTAGCGACCGATCCGAACACGGCCAACGTTGCGAACATTCTCTCGAAACTGTCCGTCTCACACGGCGGCTCCCAGCGTTACATGCTTTCGCTTTCGCGACTCAACTTTTCCGAAGAAGACTTAGTCTATGAGGCGGGCATTGATGCAGACACGGTCGACAGAGCTCACGAACTACTCGAGATTGGCGTCACTCCAGACGAAGGCGACAGCGTAGCAGAGTCATTTGGCGTGTAAAAGTAGCTACGAGATCCATCAGGTCGGGCTGCATCATGTCCATGTCCAGACGAAAGCGACCGTCCGATATCATTGCGTCTGTTTCTTTGGAGCGAAGCATCCGAACTACGTGCGAGCACGGTTCATGTGGCGGTGGTTGTGATAACCATCTGCCAGTACCATGGACCTGTCAATACCAAACGGATGCGGAAACGCCACGGTGGCCACGATTCCCACGCGCCTTTTTGCCGCATGGTACGAGAGTTGTTGATGGCCGCTGGCCACTTGACAATGCATCAACCTAATGCAGGTATTCAGCGGCTGCGAGTGTGATAGAGGCGCCGAGAGAGGTCGCGGCCAATGAATCACGCTGTGGCTTTGGATGCAGAACCTCATGGGGTGGAGCTACCTGCAGAGTCATGCGGATTGCCTACTTTGGCCTTTTATTTGACATGAATCTCCTGCCCGCCAGTCGGCATCGAAGGATGAAGGGAATCATGTCTATGAGGGGAAGAGTCGGCCGAAGCTTCAGAGCCAACAAGTCGACCATGTCAATCTCCCTCGTCCGCCTATCTCCAGAGACTCGGTCGCCTTCTTGCGCTCTCGCCCAGTCGACTCGATGTCTCAACCTGCAGAGTTGCACTGACCCCACACGCTAAGGATCAGCGAAAACGATTTGGCTGATCCTCGAGCTCGACTTTGAGGTCGAAACGCGCCGACTAGCCGTGAAGATCTGGTCGGTGCTGGTCGTGGATAGAGAATGAGGCGCTAGTCCAGAACATTCGAGCTAGGCATTAGCGTCCACGAGTGATGGCCCCATTCATAGAGCGCCCCTGAGTCAAGGAATAGCTCCTCACCGATAGAGCAGCCACTTCCGGTCGTTCATCCCAAGTTGCCCAATCCTGATTGGGATTGTTCAGGTCCAAGCTCGGGTCGTCCGGCGTGGTGTGCAGGGAGGGGCTGAGCCGGTGTCAAAGCTGCGATGGCATCAACACCACGTTTACTTTTGCTGGATTCAAGTCGGGTCGGAGTCAAATGCAGCCAATTCCAGACGCGAATAAGGCATTGGACGTGACATGTCTTTTGAGGTAAGCGCAGGAATTGGCCGTTAAGCTTTCAGGTCACACACAGTCGACTAGGAACGGGGGGAGGCCACTTACGCATCCTGAGGTCGCCGAAGGGTGCATGTCTAGTAGACTGGAGGGGAGCACATGCAACAGACCCAGGTAGTGCAATAGATGCCCAACCCAAATCCCATCTGCCTGGACTTGCATATATCATACGACCTCGCCTCTAATCCCCTCTTCTTTGCTTTTCCTGGAGAAGACTTGAAAGAAAAACGCCCATCTTTACATCCTTGCTTCTTGTGTTGACGGATTCCATCGCCTCCACTACCGCCATGAACATCCTCTTCCTGTGCACCGCGCATAACTCCCTTTCTCAGCGCCTGTACCTGGCGTTATCCAAGACTCACACGATCACTATCGAGTATGCTCTCTCAGATGATGCGATGATCGAGGCGGCCAAATTGGCCAAGCCCAATCTCATCATATGTCCGTTTCTGACATCACGGGTACCCCGGGAAGTCTACGACAACTTTCTCACACTCATTGTCCATCCCGGCCCCCCGGGCGACGCCGGCCCAAGTGCTCTCGACTGGGTAATTATGGGAGATGATGGCTCAGAAGCCGACTCTGAGAACCTGGTACAGACCAATGCTTGGAGCGAGTTTGGACGGCCATACTGGGGTGTCACCGTCCTGCAAGCCGTCGAAGAATTCGATTCCGGACCAGTGTGGGCTTTTGAGCAGTTTCCTCTTCAAATCGATTCACCCACCATCACCAAATCAAGCCTCTACCGTGGCGCCGTCACAAGAGCCGCCCTAACTGCCACCCTTGCCGCTATTGACAGAATTCAGGCAGCTTCTATACAGGCCGCTTCACCCTACACTCCCCCGCCCTCCCCGGGCAAGGACAAATTCTTCCCCCACCTTGTCAACCCGTTGCTTCAAGCAGACCCCACCTTCCGCGACGCCTCGGTGACACTACAGAAAGCCTTCCTCGGAGGAGTCACGCGTCATCGACCGCTCCTCAAAGCAGCCCAGCGCGACTTCGATATCCAGTCACACTCGGCTCGGGAAATATCCCGAAGGATTCGGTCATCGGATTCCCAGCCCGGCTGTCTGACGAAGCTGTTTGGGCCCAGCCTCTATGTATACGGGGGAACCATCGAGGAGAATGAGGAGCTCACGGCTGGAGCACGTCCTGGAGATATCATTGCCTGCCGTGACGACGCTGTTTGCGTCGCAACATGCGACGAAAAGGGCATCTGGATCTCGCATGTTCGACGTCTCAAGCGAAAGACGGACTCGATGCTGTGGCCCAAGGTCCCCGCCGTTTCTGGCCTGAACGAACTCGACGTTCTTGACAACGACCTCTTCTCCGAAAACCGAGTCTCACGAGCAACCATTGACTGGTCTCAATCCCCTCACAACACAAAGCAGGACATCTGGGTCGACTTCCAAACCTTTTCAGGTGCCAGGCGGGTGGCGTTCCTCTACTTTGACTTTTATAACGGCGCTATGAGCACCGAACAGTGCTCTCGCATGATTGACGCGCTAGACTTCATCACAGCCAGCCATGTCGTGGAACGACCCCTCAGCGCAGTTGTGCTTATGGGCGGCGACTCGTATTTCAGCAACGGAATCGCCCTCAACGTGATCGAGGCCGCCTCGGATCCCGCTCTCGAATCCTGGCTGAACATCAACCGCATCGATGACGTGGTCCACTATCTCCTGCAAGAGTTCCCATCACGAAACATCCTCACGGTCGCCGGCATCCGTGGCAACTGCGCGGCCGGCGGTGTCGCCCTAGCTGCCGCATGCGACGTCGTTATTTCCGGTTCCGAGGTGGTGCTTAATCCAGCCTACCGTGCCATTGGCCTGCATGGTTCCGAATATCACTCTCTGTCCTACCCCGGACGATGTGGCTCGGCAGGCGCCACGAAGCTGTTACGCAACATGACACCGCTGTCGCCGGCTGACGCGCGAATGATGGGCCTCGTCGACCACACGCTTCCGGGAACTGGGGCTCTCCTCGACACACGTATTCGAAAGCACGTCAAGTCGCTCTTGCTTGCAGGTAAGCCGGCCGCGGCGGTCTGGAAGAGCAATGTTGACGTCTCCCCTGCCGGTCTTGCGTGCGCTCGTGCTCAGGAGCTTGGGGAGATGTCCAAAGACTTTTGGAGTGCGAGATCACAGAGATATCATCTCCGCCGAAGAGACTTTGTCCGCAAAGTGAAGGCCGCCAAGACACCCCTGCGTTTCGCGATACACCGGCGACAAGTGGATGAGCTGGACGAGGAGGAGTCGGACGACTTTGATGATGTCGTCATTTTTGAGCGCAAAGCCAGGGCCACTCTCTTGGCCGACAAGCTCAAGGAGTACGTTGAAAACATGACTTCGGCGTCCGTCCGCAAGGACACAAATTCAAGCAACGCTGCCGTACACGCGAGAGCGGCGAGTGAAAGCGTCAGCAAACGAGATTTGAGACCTATATTTTCGTGCTATTACGATGTCACAGCCTGATGAGGCAGGCGGTCTAATCTTTGGAGCACAGCAGCACGTGGGAGCGAGATACACGTCGCGTTGAATAGCTATTTTCTTTGTCATCGAGGAGGGATGTCCAGTACGACGGCACTTTCAATACTAGTAATACCAATCTCTTTTCCCATGAAGTTTGTAATTCTATATCCCAGCTTGACAGCTGTTCATTACGTACAAAGATCATCCTGACAACGTCGACCGCGTGATGCAGCACGTCCAGACAGCTATGGCTCCCTGTCAACACCGTTGACCCTCGGGCGGAACGCATCAACTCTCGTTCTCTTTCTCGCTCGGAATGACATGCGAGTCCCCATCGTCCTGAGTCCTGCAAGGTTTGTCCGGTCAACCCCTAGCCGAGAGCCATCGTCGAACTAGCGATTTTCTTTGAGCAACGGTCCTGGCCCGCAGACTAGTCAGGGCTCTTTGCCGTTTGGCAACCGCCCCATCAGACCCAAAAGATGAGCTCAGCAACAACCTCACATCACCCCATTCATCAGCTCACGAACTGCTCGAGCCAACTGTTCCGTACTATGTTGGTGTTCCTAGTACCTTTTTCGCCTTGACCTTTCCAGGGAATCCCCGCACGCTCGGCCAGTGACTCGGAGCATGTGGATCAGCATTCGGGACAGTGGGACCGGACCCCGGTGAAGGACAGGGGTTGATAAAAGACGCACAGAAACCCAAGGCTTGACTTTCGTCGCATTAGATGCTCGGCAATCGTAAATCTTCCGTTGTATTTTGGGATTTGCGGTGTTCTAATCGATCGGTAATCTAAAAATATTGGGACGTGGAAAATTGGAGGACCCACGAGCAGCGTGGCCGCACCGACGATCTAGACGCTCCGGAGGCTTGCACTAACGGCCCAGGTGTGACACCGAGCTGGTGAGCCTAGCTCTTCCACGGTTGAGCACGCCAGGGCTTGTGTCTAGTTCCCCCTGTCCACTCTCAACGGCTTTACGACGTCATCAGCGAGACTGATCTTCATCGAACACTCTGGGAGGGCAAGGCAAAATGCACAACACGATCACTTTGTCTTCGTTTCTGCCGCGGTCGAGGAAGATAAAGGTAATTGAGGCATATCATCGAACAAAGAAACCCAGATACCAGCATATCCTTCAATTTCCTATTGTCTTTTCTCCTCTCTTAGCGAAGTAGTTTACAAAAGCCACACACAGTAGCATCAACCTGGACGTCTTCCTGGTGTTCTTCGCATTTCATACACCCTCCTGGTAACCTCATGATAATTAAAGCAAATCCGACTACATTATCTACTATGAGATCTATGCCTAATGATTTGATGGCTCACCTCAGCTATCAAGGTCGTGGAGGTGCGCGTCAGCGCTGCGGTTGTTTCTTCATACCTCTTCTTCAAACCATGCGTGGGACACCCTTGTGGCTCGCTAAGGACCTTCCAGGGTCTTTCTCCTAGAGGAACCTTCTAGGGTCTCATAGTTCTTTTCATTGAGGCAAGGAGAAAATGAGCTCGGCGGTGCAGGCCAATAAAAGGGCTTGCATCAAGACTTTTATTGGCCTGCATCAAGACAAGATGCGGGAGGCCCTCCAAAGCACGGGCCACTTCACAGGTCGCAAGGTGTGCCATCTACCGGCATCTGACGGCCGAGTTAAACAAGCTTCGCGCGGTAGAAGAAACTTTGAAAAAGAAACGTACAATGTGAAGAGGTCCAAAATATGAGAGGAAATTCGGAGAAAGGCCAGTAGTATCTGATAATAACCTAGCTTTCGTCCTGTTAGACATTTTTGAATCTTCCACCTCTGCTCAACCAAGAACATCAACAACACTCTACGAATCATCAATCCTGCCTATACACAGTCGAGATGTCCCTTCGTCAGCAACTCACCAGGCCGCTGGTCAACGATGTGTCCGACGGCTATCAGCATACTCACACCGTTGTGTTCCTTCATCGCTTCAAGGAGGAAACCACCGACGAGGAGCTAAAGACGAAGGTACTTTCCGAGAAGTTGACTAAAAATCACAAGACCCTCCGCGAACAGTTCCCCAACGTTCGTTTTGTGTTTCCTTTCGGGAAGGCTACTCCTCGCCCGTGGAACAATCTTTCGACTGAGGACAGAGCCGCTGTCGGCATGACCAAAAGCGCCATGCCATACATCACCCAGATCGTCCTCCAGGAGGCTGAGCATGTCGGTGGTCTGGACCGCGTGATCCTTGGTGGGCAGGGAGAGACTGCCGAGGCAGCTCACGAGGCTATGTCGTCATTCCCCGAGTGCAAGAGTGACAGTGCAGATGGCGTTGCTGTTTTCATTCAAGATAAGCTTCACTCGACCTGTACCGACCTCAGCCAGCTGCGCCTAGCGGGCTTTGTTGGTATGCATACCCCCGACGGTGAGATGACCCGCGATGTAAGAAACAAGGCGGCCATGTCCAAGGCAGCTCCAGGAAAGAACAAGATCAACGCCAGTCTGGTCACCAACACACCTCATAAGTTCATCAATGGTGGATACAAGACGCAAACCACGACGTGGGATGGAAAGCGCATCGACACGTTCGCGGAGTTTCTCGAATCTATCCAAGTGTACCGCGTCCCCGACAGAAAGAGAACGAGCAAAGAAACTCTCGTCCCCAAAGATCGCAAGCCTGTTGAGAGGTGGGACCCAAGGGAGAACCTCAGCGATGCACAGAAGTATGCGCTCGAGATTGCGGAGCAGAAGAAGGAAAACGAAAAGTTGAGGGAAAAGATTCTGGTTCGTATTGAAGCCAACAAGGTTGAGCGCAAGATCGTTCAGGAAAGGGAGAGAAGGAAACGAGGCATTGCTTCAAATCCTTCAAAACCTCATGATCGATACACAGATACCGCCAATTCCCTTGGCGAGGAACCAATCCGACCTTTGAACCGACATGCTGGTCAGACTTCAAATCAATTCGCATGTCTAGGTCAGTCACTGGAATCCATTGACATTGAAGAGCCATACACGGATGAATCCTCCGAAGAATCTTCTAACGTTGATGAATGCGAGCAGACCACCCACGCAGGCAAGCCTAGGGTATCAGTGTCTTCGTCAGAAGAGACGGTAACTCCGACCCCTAGCAGCAAGGGTCGCTCTAAGGGTCGCTTGGTGTCTAGCAAAGCCGAGGTCAAAAGAGCTCGGCAATCTAGAAAGGCTGGACAGGGGATCAATTGGCAGCGACGTCGAAATGGAGAACTGACAGCTGGTCAGATGGAGGCGTTCGGTTTGTCGGAAACAGAGGACATCGCTGAAGATACCGATCCTTGAAACGTCACCGATACCATGATGGATTAAAATTATTGGGGCAACAACTGTTGACTGCCTTTCTAGCCAATGTCCATTTAGATAGGCCCCACTATCTAGAGCGACGTGGATAAACAGAAATCATTAATGCAATCTCAATAACTCATCCTGCTTTCCCGTAGATTGCCCTTAGATGGGGGAACAGCCCATTGCTTGAGTGCCTTGACTTAGCATCCCGGAAGTCCTGTCACAGTATCCTGCAACGTCCATTTTCCTGTACAAGTGGTTGTTACGTTGGTCGACGTAAGAAGGTCAATATCTTCGAACTTGATGTTGCCACATTTATGTCTAGCACTGCACGAAAGACTGACGCGATTTGTGGAACCTGATAACGTGCCTGTGAAGTTGAGAAAGTCGACGTCTGAAACCTCCATATTGCTCGTTCCGGCAAAGGAGCCATTGTTCCCGTTGTTTTGATTGATCGAGGGGGCGTTGTTGACATTTTCATAGTAGACGTTGGCGAACGTGATGTTTCGAACACGACCCCAACCGCCTCCTCGTGGCTTGCCGGCACTTTCGTAGTGATCTTGAGGTGCAAGCTCTCCAATCCATGTCTTGATGTAGACCCCAATGCGTAAATCAATTGATGACCGCTTCAACTGCTTGATAGTTAGTCACTGATAAAAAATCAGCATCTATCCACATTTACCTGTAAGTTATTCATCATCACGTTCTCCACGCTTGAGTCCTCGAGATACTGCCCAAGACTCCCGATAGCAATGCCATTACCACCATGGCAAGTAACGTCTTCTAGATAAATGTCGTACGATCGGGGCTTGATAGCGACGCAATCATCTCCGCCCGAGTACTCGAATCCCTTGACGCTAATGTTGCGCGCATCCATCGTATCTGAAGACTCCTTATTAGTCTTTTAAGTCCTTCGTGAGGAATCATCTCGATGACGCACCAAAACCGTCAGTATTTTGGACCCAATTGTATCGCCCAGGAGCCTTAGTCGCTGTGGCATTGCTGCTGATATTTTGGAAAACCATGTCTGTCCCATTCATGATGTTGTAAGCCCAGAACTGAGGCTGTTTAATGTGGAAGTTCCGAACAGACACATCGCTGACGTTCCAGAACACGAAAGGCTGATTTCCCGTGAGTGAAAAGGATAGAAAAAGTAGTCAGAAGGGTTCGAGGCTTTCAATCTTACCATAGGACGTCCTTCGACCGTTTCGCCTGCTTCGGAAGTATACCAAGTATCACCATTCCCATGAATGCCTCCAGTTCCATGACCATCAATGTGGATTCCATCTCCCGTTAGGATGAATGCGGCGCGATGGTTTTGAAACTCGATGAAGTAGGAGTTCGACCTCCAGTAGGAGATGTTGTCGGAGAACTATGCAGAATCAGTAAAAGGTGTATCGTTCAGCGTAGGTGTGTGCCTACCGTCCATTCTCCTCTCCATTGGATCTGCACATCCTTCACGTGTGGGTTCAGCTTCTGATCAATCCAATAGTTCTGCTTCTCAGGAAATATGATGCTCCCCGAATTTCCGCATCGATCAAAGGCGTTCAGGATATTGTCGACATCACTCTGGTTGTTTCCTTTGGCTGTGACTGTGCACTGGGGTCGACCGTGGACGATAGCTACCTCCACACCATCGCCGCTCGCCAGAGCACCGAATACAATACCAACCAGCAATACAAAAGAGACTCTCATTGTGGAATCTAGATTTGGATGTTTGATCCCCAGGTGGATGTTTTCAGCAAGATTGAACACGTCTTTTATGTATTGGACACACGGTCAAAATCTGGTCCTCGCTCATGTTTCGAACATGCGCTGCATAACAACAGCGGAGAATCTCGGCCGGCCAAGAAAATGTGTGAGATATCCGCCTGGCGGCCTAGCTGTCCATCCTATTCACGATCGTCCGGCATGATTATCCTTCGCTGCGACTGATTTCTTTCCGAAGCTATGATGACTTTCAAAGTTGGCTCTATTCAAGGGTAGTACTGTCGTCTACCGTTCTCACGAGATGGTGCATCTTGGCAATGGTCAGCTTAGAAGGACTGCGTGTGAATGGAAGGTGTTCACAGCATGAATCGATCGGAATATTCGTCTACAAGCGCCTCGGGGTGCGATGAAACCCATGGGAATTAAATTGCACCAATCGACCTAGGTTTTCGGCAAGCTCCCATACCAGCGATACTGTCCCATTCTGGCAAAAAGCTACCCCGTTCCCGCCAGGAACACTCCGTCAGCAAAGTAAGATCCCCGCATGGTCCCGCAAGGCTACCTTTCCTCGGGCGGGATTGACCGACCTGCACGTTCCTCGGTTCGGGGTATCTCTTGACGAAGATCGTTCACATTACCATGTCATAGAGTTTTGACATTCGGTGATACACAACCTTTGTAATTGTAGTTATTCATCGAGTAGTTCTCTCATCATAAATGTATTCCACTACCACTGTCCAAGTTGCCAACGTCGCCTTCCTCAGTTTATTTCCAACACCTAGTCGGAATGCCTCGGCAAATCATTGCTATTTCAAGGGAACCACGACTGAACCAGTACCACTGTACCAGTCGCCGGTAGATACCGTTTCTGGACGCTTGATACTTCCGCAACAGTTGCTACTTTTCTGTGGTATATCCCATTAATCTTAGGTTGCTTCTATGTCTGCGTATGTGGACACTATTTTGATGCAGATCCCTTGCGGTGATCCATTCAACATCCTCATGCTATTGTGTGGTTCCCATTCAGGTATCACATGCTAGGAAGTGACAACATCAGACGACCGGGACTCCCGGACAAGCAGAGCAACATTACTTCATACCAGAGGCGCTTGGGGAGGCCCGTCCACCAACAGATCCCGCCGTCAGCCCCGCGGGGTCGTAACGCTGACACAGGGGAGGCTCAAGCCGTAAGGACACGGGCCTGAGGTAATGAAATCTCTTCCCAATGACCAAGTCGCCATGAAAACGGAAGTCTTCCGCCAAGGTTAGATTATTTCAACCTATTCGCTCGCCAATGAACTGCTTCGGGATGGCCAACAGGCACGAAATCGATGTTGATGGCGACCTCGTCCTGACGCTCAGCAGAATGAGACTGGCCGATGCAGATGCAGAAGTTGAAGATGAAGATGAAACCCTGCAAAACGACGAGTTGCGAGTTTCTTCAAAAGTGCTGCAGCTGAATTCGCCTGTCTTCAAGGCCATGCTGGGCGGAAAATTTAAAGAAGGGACCGAACTCGCCGAAAAGACCGGACCAGAGCCGTACGACTTGGAGCTCCCAGACGACGATGTAGAAGCCATGTCGATACTGTGCCAGATTCTTCACAACGTCTACGTCCCAGAGATTCCGAAGCCCATGTCATTAGAGAAATTGGCATATATCTGCGACAAGTACGAATGCATCAACGCCCTCAAGTACTGCGGCATCGTATGGATCAGAGATTGGCTCCAACAGTTTGATGATGAGGTTCCCCCGATGAGCGATTTTTGCCATCTGCTGGTTTTCGCCTATGTGATAGACCTTCCAGTTGAGTTCTCGGAAATTTCATGGCGGATATTCCTATACCATGAAGGTCCCTTCTCGACGGCATCAGAGCAGGTGAAGATGCTAGTGGATCATCCTTTGCTTCACACCGACATCATCAGTAGGCACACCCCCCATCCCAGGCCTGAATACGATGATTAATCGCAAGCCAGAGTGTCTCGAGATCAAAAGACATGAGTCCTGCAACTCATTCTATAAAGGCGTCATCTGCCCAATGATGTGGGATTGGGACACTTCAGACGCAGCCTGTTCCAGGGCGTCGAAGGCTCTTGGGTACTACGTAGAGACCCTTCACAAGTCCGACTTACTACCCAGGGACATCGACTTCTCAAAACACAAATTCTGCAACCTCCTGGATACGGCAGTGAGCATACAGAAGATCTCAATGAAGGATTTCCCTTGCATGAGAGAAGTAGGTGTGTGCCAGTGTCGGTCGAACCGATACATCAATCGCAATCTGGCAAGTGAGGTGGAAAAAGAGGCGAGGAAAATCATCCAACAGAGGCGAGTGTTCAATTGCCTCGACTGCTTGAAGTCAGACGGTGTATCTGGGAAAGACGAAACGTGCAGAGTACCTCACTCTTAGTCCGGAGGCGTCAGGATGGTTAGATACGGGCGGGGCGGCACCGAAGCCTTGCACAGGGGATGTGTGAGGTAAAGTTGATATATGGCCAACAAATGCATCGCTTTTGAATTCTACGATCTATAAACCCGCTGTCGTACAAGTTCATTATAAACCACGCTTGACGTCGTGAAACTAACAGATGTGCGAGAACTCAAGATCGTAGTGGTGCCAACTCTCGCTTCGATCCAGAAAACCAAACGCCCTATATATGCATCGATCCGTATGTGCAGCGGGGGAACTCCGCTTTCTTTATCATCTAAGGGTTGTTGGCTTCGTTGATGCTGTGCTCGTACTCAGTCAACTTGAGAGCCTCTTGCACGTCCGTAACGAAATGAGACTCGCCACCGACGAGGTCGATGATGCCAGACTGACGCATGAGCCGCCAGATGTGATGACGTGGGTTAGTAGGTCCACGGCTGAAGAACACTCTAACGCCGCGCTCTCTATAGCTTCGCACAATCTCCTCGAGCACCTGAGTACCCGAACCATCTAGGGATGTAACACCGTGGATATCGAAGATGACGTTCTTGTTGTGATGCTCGCCACGCAACCTTGGAAGCGCTGGATGAGCCATGCTCGTGCCGTACAGCTCCAAACGTCGGAGACGTGCCTTCAGCTCGCCCGTGTTGGCGAAAGTTAAAGGCTCCGGGATTTTGACAATGAGGCAGCCCTCGACAAACTCTAGTCTATCAGGGTTCAACTCGGCGTTCTCGAAACGATGCGTACCAGGGATGCGGCCAAGAATCTGGATGCGCGGGCGAGTCGAGTGCTTGATGACCTGGAGTAGAGACAAGCCCACGCCGATGGCCATACCTAGAGTGAGGGAGTAGAAAATTGTAGACACGAAGATGATGGTCATCAGACCCAGCTCGGTCCAACCACGGATGCGCAGGAAAAAGGCGATATCGTGGGGTGCTTCCTCGAGTAATGAGTAGGCAACAACAGAAATCATAGATGACAGGACCGGTTTCTGCCAGTATTAGTTCGGGGTGTCCTTCCACGATGGTGTACGGGTGTTAACTTACGGGTAGATAGTAGAAGTAAGGCAACAAGAACATGATGGCTGCTAGACTGATGGCGCTGAGGAAGATCGAACTCATAGGTGTCTTGCCGCCAGTCTGCTTGTTCAACTTGCTTCTGCCGTAACCACCAAAGGCAGGCAAACTCATGAAACAAGCGCCAACCACGTTGGCAGCACCTAACGCTACAAGCTCTCGGTTGGGGCTGAGCTGGATGCCGTGCAAGCTGTCGGAACTGCTCAGGCTCTTCGCCGCGACGGAAGATTCGAAGAAGCCCAGCAGAGCAATCAAGAACGAAGTACCCATGGCCTCGCGAATGTGTTCCATATGCGATGTTTGGAAGGGCCAGCGGAAGGTGAAGACATGACCAGACGCGGCCTTAACGGGCCCGAGAATCTCAACCCCCTTGCTCGCCCAATCGAAACGCCAGGAGAGAATGGCGGCAACGACGACGACAAAGAATCGATCCGGGATGTAAGCAACCCCGGGATACTTCGGCGTCATGTGTTTCTTGAGCTCACGCATTACCATCATGATGACAAAACTGACCCCGGCCACGATGAAAGTAAGTTTATGAACATGGTCGAAGGAGGTGAAGATGAACTCCAGTTTATCCATGCTGCTACCATGGCCAACCCCAGTTTCCGCCGCGTACTTCGCAAGCCCGAGCTCAGGAATCGCCTGATCGACCGCAATGACGAAGCCAATTGCAGAGATGAAGCCGCGCAAGAACGGGCGACTGAGCACGCTGTCGAGGAAACCAAGACGCGCGATACCAGCCAGCAAGACGGTAGCTCCAGCCATGCCTGCAACCACACCGCAAATCTTGGCCTGTAGTTCGGCGTTGTATTCTTCGTCCTTGTCGTGGTCGATGCTACCTCGGACCACAGAACCGACCAGCAAAGACCCGGCGGCTTCAGGTCCGACGACCATCTGCGGCGCACTTCCAAAGATGGCATAGATGAAGGGATTGAAAACAAACGCATACAGGCCGTTGATTGGCGGGACGTGAGCGAGGTTGTCGGCGAGGGAGAGGGCCATCGGCAGGTACAGAGAGGCAAGCGTCAGCGCTGCGACGAGATCTCCCTTCAAATAGGACCATTGGTACTGAGGCAGCCAGGTAAGGAGCGGGATGTAGTATGAGAGGTACCTGGGAGCAATCGTGGTTAGTTTGGTCCTGTAGGAGAGGCATGTTGGGCGGCGACTTACATCCACACGGTATCCTTGAATCCCGCTTGTTCTGCCAGCGTCCTGGACGAGGTCATCTTCTTGCTTTTCAGCTTTCTGATGAAGCGCTTCCTCCAGTGATCGTCGCCGGTAATGGTCGTAAGCACCGAATCGAGGATGGGGATCGAGGAGGCGGAGGAGGACGGTCGGTCCATGTCAGCGCTGCGGGCGCTGCCCGTAGGACTGGTAGGCCTGGGCGAAAAAGTGCCATGGGTGTAACTAGTCGGCGCGGAGTTATCGATGAGGACATTTTGCAGGAGGCTCGTGGATTCGCTCGGAGGGAAAGTGTTTGGTCGACCGAGACTGGAACCGGCGCGCGGGGTATCTCGACCACTATCATTCTCGTTGGGGAGTGGTGTCGCCAGAGGAGTCGCGTCCTCCCGAGTGCTCATGTACTCAGACTCGCCGCCGATAGAGCCAGGCGACTGGACAGGCGGTGAACCCATGGTGTAGCTCTGGCGCAGGCCGCTTGGGTTCATGGGCAAGTGCTGCTGTGAAGAAGGACTGCGGTTTGGTTGTGGCCGGCCGCCTGACATTTTCGCTTCGTAACCGAGAGAGCAGCACAGAAAAAAAGAAAAGACGTGGTTACGGGAATGCGGCGGGAGACATGCGAAATGACGACACTCGAATTGGCGGGGCGACGAGGCTGATTGTAGAGACTAGATGGATTCGGAGATTATGTTTCTGTCGTCGTCAACAACCAACAAAGACCTCGCAGGTGTGTGTTCCCGGGAGGTTGCAGTCGCAGCAAACGTCTCAGGGTCCAACGTCTGCACGAGATGACGAAGGATGGGTGGTCGGGCGGCGGGTAGAGACGGAAGGAAGAAGACACCACAGACGGGAGACGTGACGGAAAAGACGGTGATACAGACGGTTGACGGATGGCTTGTATCAGTTCGGTGGTGGGATGCCAGGCCAGACCATGGTAAGAGGATTTGTCACAGCGCTGGCTGACTCGTCCCTTGTTCAGGCGATGGCGACAGAGATCAAATCTCTTGGGGCATGGATTGGCGAGTTGGGATCTTGTCCGAACCGAGGAGGCGACGGTCAAGGGACCTTGCAGCCCAGAGCGAGGTAACGATGTGCTGCTGGGCTTTCGGCCTCGACTGCGCGATTGCGACTGCGGCTGCGGCTGCAACTGCGACTGGGGGGGTGAAGAGCGGTCGGTCGGCGGGCGAATGTGCGTGTGTGTATGTGGTTTTTTTTTTTTTTTTTCCTTTCCCTGCAAGGATTCAGCATTCCGCAGTCGCTGAGCAAAGACCAAGCAAACCGGGGAGTGACATCAATGCGTCGGGCCTAAAATTATGTGTCAGCGGAACTCGATTCGACGATATGGTATGCAGCATGTTACGTACTAATTGCCATGTTCCTTCCAAGGTTCCTTCCTGGGTTAGGTTGGCTTCGCAGTGTTTGGACCGGCCGAGGTATCGGCAAAATCCATCCGCGCCGAACACGAGCGCTAGGCCCAAAGAGGCACACCGCCTTGGAATTGTGTTAGATAATGCACCCTGCTGCCTCTGCAATGCAGAAAACACGGTGGAGCCACCAGTCTACCCCGCTCCCCGGCCCCTCTCCGACCCTTTTCTTCAAATCCATCGGCCCAGCGCCGGTCTGTCGCCGCACTTACCCACGGGAAACTCTCAGCCCCCCTTCCCGGCCACCTCATGCCGATCATAGAGGGGTTCAGAGCGCTGCATCACCGATCTCAAGTGCTCTCCGGTCGTCTAGATAACGAAGGAGGAGACGACGTACTTCAACCTGTCTCTGGAAAAATTTATTCTTTCCTTAGGTAATCCTTCGATGGTGGATAGCCCCCGCAGCGGGCATCAAATCTGAACATGACAAGACATCCAATCAACCAACCAGCCACAACGCCTCAGCTACATCTCATGATGAACGCCACGGTGGCATCCACAATCCTGTCCAAACATGTCACTGTCAGGTCCGTCAGACGATTCCTTGCCTGCTCGTGCAACCACAAAATGCCCAGCCATCCTCCGTGAGCTTCAGCGTAAGCCTGCCATCGCTCCGTCTGGTGTTGTTTACCAACCCCCGCATTGAGGCAACATGTCATCCCAAGCACTGCGTGGCGCCCATCGCTTGACTAAGACCAAGCATGTCTTTGCTCACCACAATATCCCCCTCGAGTGCGACGTCTACTCGGCCGAGGACTACCCGGCTACCTCACCCGTCTTCCTGTACTTCCACTCGGGGGGTCTAGTCACCGGCTCCAGATCTTGCGTACCACCATGGCTTGCACAAGTGAGTCCTGCATCGTCTCACTGCATGCACCGTCTCATTCTGACAGCAACCCCAGGTCTGCTTCAGAAACAAATGGCCTCTGGTAAGCGCAAGCTATCGTCTGCTCCCACAGGCGAAAGCTTCGGGCTTGCTTGAGGATGCTCGAGCAGCATACAAATTCGCGCGACACTTAGGCGCGTCCAGCAATGCTGTCCAACGAAAGGTCATTGTCGGCGGAGGGAGCGCTGGTGAGCAGCACATGGCAGACATGTTTGTGGCCGTCGGAAATCTGACTGTCGAATAGGGTTCTTTATGGCCTCTCTGACCGCCCACCACCTCACACCGTCCCCCATCGCACTGCTCTCAGTCACCGGTATCACCACCTTCCGCCATCGCTTCTTCAACTCTTCAGTCTTGCTCACGCCAGAGCCCATCGCTGAATCGCAAATGTCGCACCATCTTGCGGCAGCCGTCTCTGTGGGAACTACATCGGCCAACAACCCCCAAGTCTTTTATCTCGACAAGCTCTTACCTGACGGGACCAAGAACGCCAACTTCGATGTCACCACGGTCCCTATCACAGAAGATGGGAACCCCGATGAGTTTCCCCGCGGGTGTCTTTACGATTACTATGTGTATAGGAACGAGTTCCCTGGGCTCGTCGGAGACATTGACCCAGGATATGAATGGGCTAAAGCAGCAAGTGCCAAAGACAAGGTCGCAGCTTGGCCACCGACGACCATAATTCAAGGCAACGCGGATGAGGACGTCGATCTTGCCGTCAGTACTCACATGGTTGGATGTCTGGGAGAAGACAAGGCCAAACTGTTTCTCGCCGAGGGCCAGCCGCACCGATACGAAGCCACCAGGTTTCTCGAGGATGACGTCGACGGGATGGATGCAGTAAGACAAGCCGTCTCGAACCTCGAGGCCGACGTTGCTCGTGTGGCCTAGGCTGATTTTGTGTCGTTCGACACGGGCGAGGCCGAGCCGGATGACACTGCATCTCTACGGCGCAGTCCCGAACAGGAGGGCCGGATAGGTATGTAACCGTCAACAGCAACCCTTTCACCAAGCATCCAAGGCTGCCCATCATTGCGTGTCTCCAAACACAAAACTTGCTGCTTGAATGTTTGCTCTGTCTCTTGTACGACGGCAGTGTGAGAACGTCACATTCCAGTAGCCACCATCACCGGGTGGCCTGATACAGCAACTCCATATCCTATGTGCACCATAAGAGCAAGCTTGCCGACCAGCCAGAAGCAATCTATGCGAACATGATCCTGCCATCGGGTCATGAGGGTTGCGTCTAGCCCCCAGACATTTCACAAGGACCCGCGAGATCCAGAACCTGAAGCCTGGCCCAGCACACAGCCAATCTGAGATTATCGTCAACCCGTCAACTCGTCAATCACCACGATCCACAGGTCCAACGTGATCATGCAATCACAGCGCCATTCTGTCACCGGCAGAACAAGTGGACGCCCGTAGATCCCGAGCCTAACCAACAAGCCCCACCGTGTGCTGTGATTGGGTGACGTTCAAGTGCCGCATTGATGTCACCCCCGAGCTGGGCGCTTCCGGTGCCAATCCCCGCCCCCTTCGGGGGCCGTTTCTCGTCACATCACATTCCGGCCCCATCACTTAAACTTCAGAAAGGGGTGGTCCCCGCCGACCCAACAGCATCGCGAGAAAACTTCTTCACCGACACCACAAAGTAAGCCCCGTCTCATTCATCTTATGTTTGCGGGGGCCGTGGCTTGCGTTTGTGCATTTCTGACGAATCACTCGCCTTGGCCCTGTAACCACGGTTCCTGCAGGAGTTGGCACACGCTTGTCAGCTCGGGCGAAGAAGTGCAGACGGCATGGCCAATGGCGAAAATGCCAGACTGACTGAGATGACATGCACAGTGATGTGCACAGTAGAATCGTTCGTGCTTGCTTGTGCCCACTTCACATGGTTCTCGGCTGCCTGGCGTCTGTCGCGATTAACATATAAGCGACCGCTCCCTTGCGTTATCTTCTCTCATGCTGTCAAGCTGCTCACCCTTCAGACTCTGGAAGCCTGTATTTACTGAACACCATAATAAACAATCCATTCGTTACCTACTCGATACCTTCAACATGACAACACACTCGCTCACCAAAGTCTTGCTATGGGTCGTCACCCTTGGTCTTTTCTCCCTGGTCACTGCTACCGGAGTTGACCTCTCGGACATGGTGCCTCGGACCATCACCCAATCTGACGGAACTACTTCGACCATCTACATCAACAGACGGCTGAAGTTCAATCGGGGGTCAGAAGGTACCCGCCCAGTCCGACTGACGAAGCGGTTCCCGTTCTCTGCCGGCAGAGATGAGTGGTGCGGTGAACTAGCCCAAGACCCAGCAACAGACTTCTCGGCTTCGGCGCCGCTGGCGGCAGACTGCAAAGCCCTCGCCAACGCTCTGGGAAACGGTTTCTGGACCCTGCAGCCTGGCGACTTTGGAGGCGGTTGGGCTCGTGTTGCCAGCTCTGGAACGTGTAGCTTCGCTGCGAGGTACGCCGACACCGGAAGCGCAGCGAGTCCCATGAGAATTGGGACGAACGACATTCGGTTCTACACCAACAGATACGCAGTGCTGGAGCAAAGCGGGAAGCTGGGGTTGCAGGGGACAGTTCAGTGTAGCAACAATGAGCGGATGCTATTTGTGACTTGGGGATTGATTCACAGCTGATCTGGGATTCTTGCAGAGGTTTAGACCAAAATCTGATGTCAAACAAGCAGTTGAAGAAGATCATCAGACATACTTCCCAATGCAGTAATCATACACTCATTTCCATTCTGATATTTCTCGTACATTATCAACCGGGATATTACACGACCTCATTGACAAACAGGCCAGCCATACCCTGGCCGGTGCCGATGCACATGCTAGTCAGAAGGACCTTCTTCTTTGTCCTGCGGAGCTCGCTCAAACCAGTAACAATTTGTCTCGCACCAGTGGCGCCGAGAGGGTGGCCCAGCGCGACAGCACCGCCACGGGGGTTCATCTTGGCCCAATCAAGACCGAGCTTATCACGGCAGTAGACGGCCATGCTGGAGAAGGCCTCGTTGATCTCGACGACGTCGATGTCGGCGAGCGACAGGTTGTGCTGAGCCAACAGCTTGGGAATGGCAACGGACGGGCCGATACCCATGATGCGGGGAGCCAGACCGGCAACGGTGGAGCCCACGTACTTGGCCAGGATGGGCTGACCGAGCTTGACGGCGGTGGAACGCTTCATCAGAAGCACGGCGGCAGCTTCCCTTAAAGTCAGTATGCCAAAAAAAATGAGTTTGGGGCGGTTTTTGGGACGACAGAACTCACCTCCGTCAGTAACCTGGCTAGAGTTGCCTCCCGTGCTCGTGGGACCCCACTGCGGGAAAGCCGCCCGAATCTTACCCAAGCTCTCGGCGGTGGTACCCGGACGGATGCCCTCGTCCCTGGTAAGGATAACCTCCTTTGTCTCTCCGTCAGGTCCAACAACCTTGGTCTTGATGGGCACAATCTCATCGTCAAACAGGCCAGCCTGCTGGGCCTTCTCGGCTCTCTGGAAACTCTCGGCGGCGTACTTGTCCATCTCCTCGCGGGTGATGTTGAAGTCGTGCGAAACGTTTTCCGAGGTCCAGCCCATAGGCTGCATGCAGTCGGCCGCCTCCTGGGACTGGCTGACGACGGCGTCGTCAAAGGGTTTCTCGAGGGCGTCGCCGCCAATGCTCATGCTCTCGGCGCCGAGCGCGATGCCGACCTCAATAGAGCCAGTGGTGATGGCGTTGGCGATATCGGCGGTGGCCTGGAGGCCGGAAGAGCAGAATCGGTTTATGGAGGAAGCACCGGCGGTGTTGGGGAAGCCAGCTGCGAGGGCGGCGGCGCGAAGCTTGTAGGCGGCCTTGCCATCGGAGACCTGGAGAACGGCAGAGTCAGCGGGAGTGTTTCCGGGTTGGGGGAGGGTGCTGGAAGAACGGGTTGCTACGCACATTTCCCATGCGAATGTCCTCTACCGCAGCAGGCTCAATCTTGGATCGCTCGCGAACCTCCTTCAGGAGGGCGTAAACCATGTACTCGAGGCTCGTGTCCTTAAAGCCACCCTTCTTGGCCTTGGCCAACGGAGTGCGGATAGCTAACGTAATGACGATATCATCGGGGTTCTTGGACTGGCTATGAAGAAGAGTATGTTGTCAGTTTCGGGGTCGGAGACTTTTTGGTCGAGAAGCCGAACGAAGTCCGGATCGCTGTGAGCGACGATCACATGGGAGTAGTAGCACATACATCTGGTTGATGGCGCTACCTGGAGCCAGGTGCTTCACGATGGAGCCAATTCGCTCGAGAGCCATGGTTGCTGATTACGGGCGGGTGATGCGATTCGAAGACGACGGGTGAGTCGAGTTTGCAGCTTCGGAGACTGAAGAAAAGGATAGAGACAGAGAGGGCGAGAAATAAGCTCGAGAGTTTCGTTGCTGGTCATGAAAGGAGGGGGCACCGGTAAAGTAGACATGGTTTGCGTCGGGGTTGGCCTTCGCTGCCGGCAATCGCGTCGGGTTCGGGCCTCGTAGGCCTGTCCCAGCCCCCAGACTGCGCAGACCCGCGCGCTCCAGGCCCTTCCAGTGGCTGTGGGGGAGGCAATTGGGCCGAGGCAACTCGGCCAGCGAACCGGCCAGTAGAAACCCAGCGCCCCGAGTAATGGGGATGCCGCGGAGTCTGGGGTGCAGTAGCGCGACAGATGGAATCTGTTAACCAAAGGCACAGATATCCTCACGATGTCTAACAGCAGCTAGCTCGATTTCAATCTGCATCCACTCAAGGACCCCTTGGGGCATTGTGCTGTTCTTCGGTCCATCTGCCGCACCCATTCCCGGTCTTGCCGACTGACAGCTCCTGTCATCACACCGGCAAGACTTATCAGACGAGGCCTTGGGTTGAATAAGAGTCCTTGCCATGTGCATTAATAAAGGCTAATGCCCCGGCTGGACCTCTCCGTGCTGCCTTGGTCCTCGGTATTAAAATCTCATCCTCCATGAAATTGTTTGCTCTCACGTCGTTGCAGTCATTGTTCCTCCTTACTGTCTGAGACTCTGAGTGAGCTCTGCGTGGTACCTGGACCAATGAACTTGAGAGCAGAGGCAACGTGGAATGTTGACGCAACAGCACAGGGAAAGAAGTTCGCCTTGTAAGACGCGAACGCTGCGCGGGATATTCGAGGTGTTCAGAATGTCATTCATGTTCATGCTCGACGGATACCCGTCGTCTTCTCATCCTAGTCAAGTTGGCGACTGTCGTCAACCACCCATGCTCCTTCCAGTCTATGACCAAAACCAGCCCAAAGAAAATACATTAGAAATATGTCGGTAGCTTTTAGGGGCATTTTGATCCTCTAGCCGTCTATATGTTTGAAAATGTGTTTGCAGCGGCACGTCTCTCATGTGCCCTGCGTCATCTATCGCGCTCGCAGATTACTGATCATGATCAGAAGCTAGAGGCAAAAACAACAGCAGCAAATGTCGCCGCGGCAGCCACAAGCATTGGCGGTCCTTGCCGCGTGCTACCGCTGTTGCCAGACTGAGGATTCACTCCCGTGGCGGTGAAGCCCAAGTACCAAGAGCCAATGTCGGTCAGCTTGCCGTCGTTGTTGAGGAATGAAGCGTTAGCTCCAACATTGCTCGTCTTGGAACGGAATGCCCCAAAGTAAGTATACCGCTCAATGTAGTCAATTTTGTCAAAGTAGTCGGCGGTCTGGTTGTAGTACTCCTGGGTGGTGGCGAGATCCTGGTGGGCATAGGCATACTCCGTGACCCAGATCTTTGCGTCCGGGAAGCTAGGCTATTGTCAGCAAGTGCGGATGCCATTGTGATATCACATCAAAGGACTTACTTGGCTCTACGCTCGCCAATGTGACTTGCCAGGCCGGCGAAGTTGTCGTACCAATGCACGGGAAGAAAGTCGTAGGTGCAGTTTTTCTTGTCCCCCGAGGTGCTAATGAGGTCGGAACAGTTGCCTAAAAACTGCTTTAGCCACGGCAGACCGGCGGGCTGGCCGGTGCAAGCAGGCAGGCCCAGCTTGACGCCCATCTCCCCCAGAGGAACAAAGTTGGCGACCCAGGCTTTGGCAGCAATGGCGGGAGCAATGTCGCTGCCGCCGTACTGTGCGGGGCCATCGGGCTCGTTGAAGCCCAGAACATGGGTGATGTTGATGTTCTTGTCCTCAATCAGACTTTTTACAGCTTTGAGAAAGGTGGTGTCCTCTGGGTTGGAGGAAACACCCCACATCATGGGGACGAATTCGAATTCGGCCTGGGTCTTGGAAGAGAAGGCCGGGCTCGGGATCTCTTGGTAGTTGTAGTACCAGGTCAGATCGGAGCCGGCCTGAACCCAGACCTGATTGTCCTGGGGCCAACTGGCATTGGGAGTGAAGACAAGACCGCGCTTCGAGGATTTGGTCTGGGCGGCCACGAGGGGCAACAGGGCCAGGAGGAATGTGGAGAGCATCGCGGGCGGAGGAAGTGGGTGAGACCGGGTTCCAGTCGGGTGTTCAGCTCCAGTCCAGCCGGTTCGGGTCGATTCGACGGCGGTCGGGGCAAATGCGACGACGTTGGTCACGGTGACCTGCGGGGGTCAATCCACGAATGTTCCGGCGTGTTTCGACACCAGAGAAGCTGACGCTTGGGTTCGCGATGATGCACAGGCAACGAGGCAGATTGTCAGCTGCGGTCGGGTTATCGAAACGGATGGTTCAAAGGCGTCAATGGAGGGAGTGTGGTGGTTCGGAGCACTTGAATCTGGCGAAAAAACGAGCGACAATGGATAAAGCCAGGTGCTCAATGGAGCATCGTAGGTACGCAAAGGTGAGTCGAAGACGGATAAGAAAAAGATTGGGATCGCAAGACAGGAAGGCAAGCCGGGGGGAGGGAGGGAGAATAAGGAGGAAACAAAAAAAGGTGTCTGATGAATGTCTTAATGTCTTTCACCGGTGCAGGGCGTCAGGCAAGGCAAGGTACGGACTTTAGCGGCCCATCGCGTCGGATCTGGCTGGCGTTGGCGGCGTTGGCGTTGGTGCTGGCGTCGACGGTGAGCAGGATGGCGCTGGCGGTGCTTGGGATGGTGGTTTCGATGGCGCCGGAATACTGCCAGGTCCCGTCTTTCGTACCTCTTGCTTGATGACTACCTTAGATACCTAGGTACTCGAGGGTCGAGGACGAATAATGCAGCAATTAGCGTCTCTTGACAAGGGAGCTGGAAGTCCTAGAGCGATGCGGCACCGCCGTCCTTGCCGGTTTGGGCGGCGATATGCTCAGCTCGCCTCTCCAGTGCCAATAAATCCCACTCTCCTGCAGCCTTTGTCCATTGGCCTTGGCAATGAGACCTGGACTCGTAGAGCGAGTGAGCGAGTGATGCGTTAATTCGTGGTGTCCTACCAAGGCCTGGGCATACAGCCTTGGCGAGGTCGCCGTGGGTGATCAACGAGGCAAGGGACGAGGGAAGAGGGACGTGGTGGTGGTGTTCTGGTTCATGGTGAAGGAAGGTGGATGCCGTCCCTCTACGTATTTCGTTTTCTTCTTTGTGCGTGTTTCCCTGTTTCCGCGATGAAAGAAACGGGAAAGATGGAAACGCGATTGTTCCTTCCCTTTCACGTCCCACCTCCTCCCCTGCCCTGCGTGCCTGCCTTGTGGTGCCTACCTTACCTTACTGTATGGTTCTTTC